AGAGGAAGGGAGAGAGGGAGGGAGGGAGACAGAGAGGGAGAGATAGAGGGAGACAGAGAGAGGGAGACAGAGGGAGGGAGAGACAGAGAGGGAGAGACAGAGAGTGAGAGAGGGAGGGAGAGACAGAGAGGGAGAGACAGAGAGGGGGAGAGAGAGACAGAGAGAGGGAGGGAGAGACAGCTTTCGTATGTTCATGACATATTCAAATCTTCCTGTAACCCACTTTTCCTTGACGTTACAAGCGAAGAGGTCAGACGCCCTACATATATAACAAGATACAGGATACATTACTAAAGTCCGGACAAATCCATAAACATGTATAGTCCTAATAAATCAATGGGATTGAATAATTCATGTTCATTCAGACCGTCGTTGATGAAAATTTTGTTTCATAATTAAGTGGAACCGTGAAGTTTGGTTACACTCGGCAGTAAACCCACCGTAATACGTAACAGGGCACAGTGCTGCAGCACAAAACATCAAATTAACCATCTAACACCGACAAGCAATTAGGCATGCACGAAATGTCCTTGAACAAAAATAACATTATGATGGACATTAAAAACGGATTATATGTCTCCAAGTGGACACGACATTCAAATGTTTTATCACCACGCTGCTATATAAAAATCAACTCTGTGTAGATTTGACCTTGAGGACCATCCAGTTGCAAAATAAAGTTTCCGGAACCAAAGAGACAAGTAGTGGGGCAGTGATGGCAGGAAGAGCGGGCTCCTCTCTGTCTCAGTCCGATGTACCGCGATCCTATCGCACACGACAACGGTTCCGCCGGAACACGGTTAAGTGGAGCCGTAACCTTGAGACAGACAGTATCAGCAAAGTCCAGGAATCATCGCACGCCGCGTCTTGAGTGTTCGAGTTGGGAGGTAGCCTGACCCCTGGAGAGAAGATAGCAACAACTTCCCGCAGCAGAACACCCAGAGACAGAACTTTGCTTGTTTTTGTGATGTATTCTTTACAAACTCGTTACAAATACTGCAGCGAAACCGAGTTAACTGCTGTGGAGCCGCTTTTATATTGTGTCAATTTACAAAGAGAAAGCAGGCCATCGTATTTATTGGGTCAGTTAAGTAAAAGCCAGATTGCACTAGGTTAATGAAGAGTATACTAGTCCCCATTGGTGAGTGCAGCCTACATGATTACTGGTAAATCACGCCCCTAGCGGTCTTTTCACTAATTGGCACCCTACGTATACAACAAGGCCGGGACAGCGAGAGAAAGTTTAGCGAAGACAAAGATGGTCGACTTCCTTTTGATACCCAAGCAGACATGCTTAAAATAAAAAAAATGAGAGAAACAAAACACAGTGAAAACTTTTCCCCTTCTTTTTGGGGGTAGGGGCAGAAATAACATATCCACGTTTTAGGTACCTATGCCCAAGGAGCTAAAAAATCAGATTTTTAAGCTCATTGCTATGCCAAAGAGAACATCTTCCTTCCATGCACCATAAAGCACTAATACAGCATGAAAGAGACAATGTTTTGTAATACATGTATAATGTTATATTTATTCACATACCTGTAGGTGAACCTTAGTAATGAGCAATATTATGCTTCTAACGTTTCTACAAACACCCATAAAGAATCGACATCCATGATGTGACGTGTATATATATGATATCTTGAGATTATGATCATGATTACTAGTATCACACTGTTTCTAGTCATCTTTACCATGGCAATCTGTCTCTATTGGCGTATACATACCTACATTGTACATGGAAGCAATACGTTTGTTTGCTTTTACTTGTCCAATTACAAAACAGACTCTTTCTATTTACATTTAAAAAATGAAGACAATACTTCATCTATCAAGTTTTTCCAGTAAATGGCTATGTCTGTATTTTACCCCATTCATTTTGGCATATTTCTGTGGTCCTGTCCTATGTAGTCCATGTAACACAAACTCAGGCAGTGTGATGGCATAAAAAATGGGCCTTTAACTTTAACATATTATCCACAATGTATTACACCATGAACTAGTTTATTGCCACCCTCCCTGGCCAATGGCAGAGCTAGTAACATTACTAGAAGCTGAATTTTGAGAATGGCTGTCATCTCCCTGTTCCATGTCATGTTGAGACATAGTCGCCAAACCGACTTGTTCACCATAGTCATTTGGGAATGTCTGTCCTGTGCTTGCTCTATCGTGGGTTTGGTGCTGAGTGAGCATGTGGTTCACAAAATCCACCCTGTTGGGGAAATTGGCAGAACACTCCAAACACTTGTAGAACGTGTCCTCGTATGAGCTGTGTCTCCTCACCATGTGCATGTTCAGGGAAGACTTCTGGCTGAAGGCGTGAGGACAGATTGGGCACTGGTACGGTCTCTCACCGGTGTGCTTGCGTTGGTGCTGCGTCAGGTGGTCCTTACGGGTAAACCTGGACGGACACATGTCGCAGTGGTACGGCTTCTCCCCCGTGTGGATCCTCATGTGGATCTTCAGGTGGTGAAACGTCTTGAACCTGAACTTGCACTGGCTGCACTGAAATGGTCTCTCGATATAGTGCGTACCTACCGTACCAGCTGAGAAGAGGTTTCTCTGAAAAACATCCTCATCAGCTTGGGCAGACACAATTATGCCATCACTCGTGACTCTGTGTTCTAAAGGAGCTGATGAAGATGTCTCTGCCAGGATACCTGTAGTACTGCTGGAACCATAGTCAAAACTGTAGGCTCCCTCCTCTGCAGTAAAGGAGCTCAAACTCTCATGATCATCCTCATCCTTGATTGTAATCACGTCATTCTCCTCCGTGCCCATTGGCTGCTCTTGCACTGGTTTAAACACTTTATCAAGTTGCTGGGCACTACCTGTGCTAGGTCTTTGCATGATTTCCTGACTACCATGGCTGTGAGAGCTGTGAGCACTGTGGATTTCTTCCTCAACAAATCCTTCTGACTCTGAGTACTGCTCTGGTTCATTCTTTGTAGTTGGATCATTTGAGTCTCGCTGAGCAGGCTGTGATGTCTGCATGTTGGCCTCTGAACTTTGTAATCTGTTGGCATTATCATACCTTCTGTTATTGACACTGTCTGCTTGTACTTGTAGAGATGTATCTGAACTATGTGCACCCCCCTGACTAACACCCCCCGCCCCTCCCCTGTGTAGGTTCTTCAGCAGGTACATTTGACAGTCTTGGCTCAGTTCTGTAATCTGTAGGTACCACGCTGCGGCCGATATCGCCACGATGTTGTCCTGCGTGAGGACAAAGTTGGAGGTGTACATGAAGTCAATGACGGCTCTCACGCCCTCCTTGGTGAGGATGCTCAGTTCCACCACGGTCCTGTCACTGTTAGACAGGAGGAGGGAGAAGTGGGGAGAGAAGGCAGCCAGGACGCACTTGTGGACTGGGAACCTGGCCCCCTGCACCTGCAGCGTTACGTCACAGAACATGCCGGAATTCCTCTGCAGGTTCAGCTGCTGCTGCAGCTGCCTGGGTAGGCTGGTACGTGACGAGTGCTGCGGGCTGTGAGGAGCTGCGGGGTGGTTGAGGTTACCGGCCATCTGCAGCACACAAACAAACAAACAAATAAACATTTTTTGTGATGTGTTTTTATGTGATTATATTGCTTCTTGTGAGTATCTTGCTTCTTGAAAAGGTACAGCTGAATTTAGAAAATCTAGTTATGAACAAGCAAATTAAATGGGCTTGAGAAATACATGTTGTAGTGGTGCCCATTACCTTGAAGATACCTTCATTTGCATGTCTTGTCAGCTTCAAAAATGATAACTCTAAGTGTTGTTGTCTTCGTCAGAAGGACTATGAAATTGTCTCGCCGGAGTGTGGGGAACTGCGGATTTTGCGATATAACTCTGGAAGGCATGATTCGACGTCCATGATTTTTGGCAGGCAGATTACCTTTGTTGAGGCCGAAGTCAAGTACAAGTTTCGGCTTCGTGGGGGGTCCTTGCGTCACGTAGGTGCACCTTTTGTGTTTGTGGCTTGTTAGCAAAATAACTCAAGTATTTGTAAAATGTTGATTATAATTCTTGGTGTGAACGTTACTATTGTCAGGACCAAGGTCAAGTTCGTTACTGAGCTTCGTGGGGGGGTTCGTTGTGACTACAGGGGGCATTTTGTTAATTTTTCTTGTGAGCAGGATAACTTTTGTATGTGATGATGGAAGTTAATGAAATTTGATAGGCATGTTACTGTGGTGATCTCCAAGATTGAGTTCAAAGATGAGAGTCGTGGGGGGTTCCGTTGTCACTGTAGCGGACCTTTTGTGTTTAGAACTTCCCTCACCACCTCTGCTTGGAGACAGCCGACAGCTGGATATAGCCGGGAACCCCATAATGGGATGGGATCAAATGACGTTCCATTGAGGGATTGTACTATAATCAGCAGGGGGAGGATAGGTTGGACATGTGACAGGTTATTTTCTACGGCCACACCAAGTAATTGCTATGGGTGACGTCCACTGGAGACCTTAAATTTAATGTGAAAGCGCAATAAAAATATGAAGGGCTGAAAAAGGAGATGGAATTTGGAATATACTAACTGTAGAAATACAAACGTTATGACACAAGTCACACAAGTTGAATAAAAGAACGCAGTGTAACAACGAAACAAGTCTTCTATTCGTCATAAAGATAAATTAACAAAACTGCAGTAGTCGCCCTGTTCTGATTCTTTCCTTTATCACATCTTCTCTTATTATATTTTGCGACACTGTCGTGACACTTTCATCATAATACAGTAAGAAGAATTTCTTGTTTTTTTTCCAGTAACAGTCCAGTAACGTAGGGTGGGGGTCTAACACGGGTTACGGCACGTCTATAAAATCTGTGGCGAACCCTTTTAGGGTGTTCTGTAGCATAAAAACAGAGATTCTTTTGTACATGTACTTTAGACCAAATTGATTATTAACTAGAGTTCCCCGATCTCATACCTTCGCCAAATGATGTTAATCTTTATGACTGACAAATTATAGATTAGATTATTCCCCCCTGATTTAAGAAATAGGAACCTAATTTTCATGAATTATATCATTTTATCATAATCGCTACCAAAAAAACAGTCTTATATTAACAAACAATGCATTCTAGCATTTCCTAATAAATTATGCAAATGAGGTCCTGATTTGAATAAATTATGTTTAATGATGTTCACCTCAATTTAACTTTCAAATACCACAAGTATGAAATTCCAGGCAGTTATCATTACATAATTATAAAATTTTCTCATTGATTATGCAAATTTGGTCATTATTAACATAATCAATATCTTCCTGTGTTTCTCTCGTTGTCAATTACCAATGTCACAAGCTTTAATTGTCCTATCATGGAATGCAGCTGATTTATAGAATTTCCACATAAATTATGCAAATTATTACATATTTGCATAATTGTCACATAATTATATGAAGGATCATGTAAGCTACCTACATACCAAAAATCACGACGATCCGTCAACCGGTTCTTGAGTTATTCCCTTTTGAATATTTTCAAGAATATATCGCTGCAGTTCCAGAGCATGCCGCCAGGGGGCCTAAACTCACATCACTTCTTCCCCAGCACAAGAGCTACCTACCATCTAAATTTCATCACCATAGCATGTCTAGATCATGAGATATCAAAACCGGAAGTTCTGCTGCAGTACCATAACAAGCCGCTAGGGGATCCAAAATCTAATCATTTTGAGGTCTCATCAAGACCTACCCACCTACCAAGTATCAAGACAATCCATCAAGGCCTTCTCAAGTTATCGTGTTGACAGACACACACACACATACACGAACGCCCCTGAAAACATAACCTTCTTGGCGAAGGTAAAAAAAGAGTAAAGAATACACATGTTCATTTCTCTAGAACAATGTACCTCTGACGAAGACATGAGATCTCCGACATCTAGTTTTTTCTGTGAGTCTGTTCTTAAGAATTCTTGATTTGACTTATATGGATAATACTAACCTTTATGTTTCAAACAATGTCAGCACACGTCCGCTTCAGTCCTTCAAATCAAGCCAGGTTGGGGGAGGGGGGCTTCACAGATTGCTGAAACGGAGGCATAAGACACATACGAGCGAGCATACACATCTACGTATGATGTAAAGGGTCTTCGGGTTGTCAGGGTAAATACAGATGCTAAAAGAACGTTGCATGTAAACAGAAAACGTCAATCGAAAACGGAAAAGGCAGAAGTTACTCCTGGAAAAATAAATAATTCGCAACGTCACCTTTGACCTGGTTTACACCACTTATCCCCATAAAAACGCTGTATGTGCGCTGTTGTAGATTGGTATTCGAAGAAATGATCATAACAGGTTCATACATTTTTCTTTATACATTTTTGTAGAAATTGTATTTGGGGTTGAAGTAAATTATGTATACAAAACATTTTATTACATTACGTTACAGATCACCCCTATTACCTATTTTGGTTCGTTCCAAGAAGGGAACTCCCCTGGGAACTCCACCAAACCGAGGCAGACTAAACCAAAATGGCGGACGGAGTGGAAATATTTTCGTCTGCAGAGAAGGGAAGAGGCCTGTGTGCCACCAAAGTCTTCAAACCGGGAAACTTGGTGCGAGCAGCTGAACCCTACGCCTATGTCCTCTGTAACACCGAGAGAGGGAAGCGCTGCGACTTTTGCTTTACAAGGTAGGGCAACTTAAACATAGTGTAGTGCGAGGGGGGGGGGAGTATGAGGATCTGTCATATTTTGTTTGCTCAGATTTTAAGTTCCATGACGCCTTATATTTGTAGTTTATCCTCACATATTGCTCCAAATGAATCTAAGGTCGTTTATCTATATTTGATTATACATAAAGGCTTTTTGCCAAATGTATCTTTACGCGTATGTTCTTATTTGAACTTTCGTATGTGCGATCAACAGCTAGCAGACGACGCAATTTTCATTTGCAAGATAACTAAAAATCATTTTAGATCTGCAATTTTTTTTGCAAATCGAATTTTTGATACATTTTGTAGCATATCTAACGACGGAGAAGGTTCTAGAAAGATCTCCAGTGTGTGGTACGACAGCTGACACGGGCTGTGTAGCACACGTGGACCCAAATTTGGAAGGGAATTTACGGAATGTCACAAGTGTTGGTCCAGCCTTGTCACGTGTCATGCGCACTGTGCAGATGTGGCTAGTGACAGTCAGACAGTTAGGTATATTCGTAACAACTTATCTAAGGCCCATCTAAAGGTAGACAACTGTCTGCCCATATTGAATGATATTAAAGTTCAAGGACACAAACATGTCACTGGATATGTTGTAGCTTTATAAGAGTACACCGTTATGGTATTCTTAGTACATGTATAGTGGTACAGGCAGAAATGATTTGGCTCATTCAGGTCTTAGATTTATCAATAGGGACATCCTGCAAGAATAGAAGAATTCTGATATATGTGTTTTTTTTAATCTGTGCCTTGGTAAATTTGTAGTAGTAGTGATCAATCTACACTATCAGTTTAAATGGTTAAATTTTTCATTTAAAAGCCACTACATGTTTTTTTTTCTTCTTTTGATATTCTTGCCTATGCAGAAAAGATGACCTGTCCAGATGCTCTGGCTGTAAGTTTGCCAGATACTGTGATGGCAAATGTCAGGTAAGGATGTGAATCAATCCCTTTTTTGACCTCTGCATGTATTAAGTAAGTTACATTTACTTGTGGTCATTGGAGAGAGATCGGCAAGTGATCTGAAGTTTAATACATTCATGTGCAGGCTTGTGACATCATATGGTACTAGTATTCTCCTGTACATAAAAATTGTTGGCTTGTATCTAATGTTTTAATTGTATGTAACAGTATGACATGTAGGTCTCAAGAATCACCAAGTCTGGACTTTACATACATTTGTGTGTTGATTATTCTTCATTTACAGAAAGCAGCCTGGCAGGAACACAAGGCTGAGTGTAAATCCATCAAGACAGTCAAGCCAGAGACACCAACAGACAGTATCAGGCTCATCGCCCGTATCATCAACAAAACGGTAAGTCCTGCTGGGAAAGTCTTTTTCAACGATGGCTCATAATGTCATTTAGCAGTGAGGTGATTTGTGTTAGCTGTTTCTCTCACTTATTAGTTTGTCTTTGTTTTAAACAGAAAACAGAAGGTCCTGGTGAGCCAGGAAACTCCATTGATGAGTTGCAGTCAAGTGAGTAATTTCACAATATTTCTGATTTCCTTTACTGAAAAAATAGGAAACCTCTTAGCTAACATATCAACTTTATTGCTCAACAACTGTAACTGGTGCAATGTATGGTAATGAAGAAACAAGGGTAGATACATGAACTATACTAAAATAAAATATATATATGAGAGTTTGTAATGTTTCTTCATCTTTTCTTCAGATCTGCGAGAGATGCCTGAGAATGTGAAGGAGATGTTTGCCCAGTTGGCCGTGGTGCTGAGGATGTATGTGGGGAAGGATGTCATGGACGATGCAAGGGAGATCTTTGAGCTGTTTGGCAGGGTATGTTCTTATTTGTTTTTACTGGTTATTCTTAGAGAGTTGTCAAGATGAGAAGCTTTATACATGAATGTATCATACAATGCTATGGTAAACTGTAACAGCCTAAGTTCTCTGTGATTATTTGTTAAAAGGTCTGTTACTAGAGGATGGTCAAGATGCAAAGGTTTACAAGAATGTTTCATACAATGCTGTGGTAGATTGTAACAGCCCAATCATGTGCTATGACCAAAATATTGAAAAAATATGATGCTATTTTTTATCATCCCTACAGATGACGTGCAACACTTTCTCTATCTGTGACCCTGAGATGCAGTACATTGGCATTGGGATATATCCAAAGTAAGCTCACTTGTTACTCCATGTTAAATAGTATGATAGGTATACTATACACAGATCCTTCATACGCATAGAAATCATTAGACATAATGGTATTGTATAGTATAGTATAGTACAACTGTAGCAGTGCTAAAGCCATTGGTAATAAAGAATTAAGTCAGAATGGGATGGTATTCTTTCTCCAAACCTCTCTGCTGTGAATTGTACAGATGTCTATATCTGTATATAGTATAGTTGATATAACTGCCCTTCAATGCAACACACCAGCTTTGCAGGAACAGTTGCAGCTGGTAAAGGTTTGCAGTACATGCACATCTATACAACTTTTTAACCATGCTATTTGTTGATGACTGATGCTTGATTGACTGACAATGTTTGCCTGTCAATCCTATAGAATGTCTCTGTTCAACCACTCCTGTGCCCCCAACTGTGTGGCTGTGTTTAATGGTCTGAGAATGGAGGTACGAGCCATCGAGAATATACAGCCAGGAGAAGAGGTAGGTTTTATTTTTTGTACAAAAAGGCAAGTTTGGTATTTTACCTTTGTCTTGATATTTGGTAGGTGGGTAGGTCTTGATGAGAGTCAAGACAATGAATTGATTCAATTTTGATATCTCGTTCTGAATGGAATCTTCTGATATGAAGACATTATCTTGGAAGCATGTTAGGATTTTGCTGATATTTTTTGTTGGATTAAGTTATTGATAGGTTAACAAGTTTTTAATGCAGGTTTTATCAAAAGGAACATTTTAAAGAAAAGCTACTATGATGCTGCTAAAATACTACATTCCTCTTCCTTTTTTTATCTGACATTTTTCTGTTGTTATTTGCAGCTTCTGATCAGCTATGTGGAGATGCTGGCCATGTCCAATGTGCGGAAACAGCAGCTCCTCCAGCAGTACTACTTCACCTGCAAGTGTCCCAGCTGTCAGGACCAGACTAAGGTAGGGCAAGGAGGGGGGCGCATGTTCATGGATCCCATTGCATGCTGGGAGATGCAGGGCATTATGGGTAGCTTGAGGAACTCAGGAAGATCAAACACCTCTCTCTCTCTCTCTCTCTCTCACCCTCTCTTTCTTTGCACAAACCAATAAAACAAACACCTCTCTTTATCTTCTCTCATTACAGGATGGAATGATGATGGCTGTCAAGTGTGGGAATATCAACTGCAAGAAAGTTATCATCCAAGTTGGTAAGATACTTCATGTTCAATTTGTGAGCACATGATTAACTACAAAATGGATAGCACCCAGGCTAATGTGTCTATAAGTTACATGTATATATGATCTATTATATCTGTGTGTATACAGTGATGTACAGCAGTAAGTGTACATGTATGTCCTATGTTTTCAACAGATGGTGCTTATGAGACATGTAAGTGCTGTGGACATGACAATGAGAAGGACCCAAAGTTCTGGAATGAAGTGAACAAAGTCACCCAGTTTTCTGAGGAGATGCTGGCTGCCATCACAAGTGCAGACCAGAGACAAGGTAAGGGTTTTTTTTCAACACTTGTAATACATAATAAATTGTTTTGGCTTGTCTGTGTGTGTCTCTGTGTGTTTGTGTCTGTGTTTGTGTGTGTGTGTGTGTGTGTGTGTGTGTGTGTGTGTGTGTGTGTGTGTGTCTGTGTCTGTGTGTGTCTGTCTGTGTGTGCTGTTCACTCTCTGGCTTTACGTTCCATCCAAGAGGAAGCTGGGTAATAGTAGTACCAGGACTCATTGTCACCTGAGTCAAGTGAGGAAATAGGTGTAAAGTGTCATTCCCACAAGCACACCATTGGGGCTCATTAAGGATTCAAACCCATAGCATTTAACTTCTTAGTCAACAAGACTAATCACAGTCCTGACTACCTTGTTGTGTGTAGAACCCAAGGAAGGTCTGAGGTTAGCGGAGAGACTGTTGGAGAGACAGCAGCAGGTGTTACACAACAACCACCTGTTTGTGCTGAAGTGTCTGGATAAGGCCCTGGACCAGGCCGTGTACCTGCGCAAGTGGAACAGAGCGCTCAGATGTGCACTACAGACCATCGAACCATACAAGTAAGTCTTACATTGTCTTATTTTGCCTCTTAGCGTTAGAAATCCTGTCTTCAGTCCCTTGAATAGTCCTTATTGACAGGTTTGGCTTTACATTTATGAAGACCTATCAATCAATCAATCAATCAATCCATACATCGATCAATCAATCAATCAATCAATCAAAGCATTTTTTTAGTCTCAAAAGCTTGTTCAGACTAAAATCAGCCAAAGGACACTTTTTTACAGAAGCAGATAATACATATTCTTTACATATATAATAGGATCTGGAATCCCTAGGGTAAAAACTTTTTGCAAATAGTTTGTGCTGGTTAACAATGAAGATACATTGCAGGACATGTTGTGTTCATCATTGTTCCATGCCCTATGTAGGGTACACTTTCCAGCCTACCACCCCAGTCTGGGGATCCAGTACATGAGGATCGGCAAACTGCTGTTGTACTTGGAGAAAAGACTGGCTGCTCTGGAGGCACTACAGATGGTAGGGGTGCTTTCTGAATGTGTGCTTTCTGAACAGTTGGCCCTGTTGCATTGAAAAACAATGATGATGATTGATTGTAATAATTTTAACTTACTTATTTGCTTTCTCTCCAGTCTGAACACATCCTGAATGTGACCCATGGCAAGGGCCACCCCCTAAACAAGGAGCTGGGAGACCTGCTGACACAGTGTATGGATGAGATGAGAATGTACCAGGCACAGGGCAAGAAGTGAGGCAGGCTGTCACAGGGACACACCACTTACAGAGTACCAAACATGGGGAGAGGCTCAACCATTAGCACATACATGTATTGCCATTCATGATGGTATATTTAGATGCTACAATGTAATACAGTTTTGTATGGATGCTGTATTTTTGGCTTATTGAAAATGAATCAGTTTGTGCCATATCAGGGCTGTTCTCATGTGAAAATTTTTGTCCATCCCACCCATTGTTTATTTGGAGTCACACTGGCAAACCTGGTTTGGGGGTCCTGGGGCATGTAACACAAGAAATGAAGTAAGTTTTCATATATATTCAAAATATATGAAAATGATTTTTCTGGATGGATGGGGAAAATTTGGAGAGACAGGTCCTGGAGACAGCTCAGTGCCATATACATCAGCATCTCATAAAATATTTCTGTAGATGCCTTTTTGTATTTATAATGTGCCATTTAGGTATGTTAGATGTTTAAGGTTTGTAAAGTGACTTGTTATGATCTATTTATCACACATGTAATAAAGAACAATGCAGTAGTGAGCAAGAAGTTTTATAAGGGATGAAAACATTGTGTAATTGCTACACAAGTTGGGGGTGAATGTAAACATGGTTTTCCAAAAGAACTAGTCGAGGGGTAACTTTTAATGGTGAAGCCAAGATTCACTTGAAGTAAGTTTACAGAAGTGCGATCATGTATAAGTATGATACTGTAAAATACAACTGTAAATGTCAGTATTAATACTGTGATATTCTTTTTGTATTCTGCTATAAGTATAAAGACAGAAACGGTTATGTGCAAATGAGAAATGAGTCGACCTCTAGTTAGGCACTCAAAGAGATAGAGTTTATAGAAGTCACCCTTTTTTGCATGCTGCATGGACATTGTATTTATATTATTTAGATGTATTATTAGTCATTAAAAGAATTATCCAGTTTTGGATGGGTTTATTGCACTTTTCTTTACGTCCATTAAAGAATATATACTGCTTAATATGAACTTTTATGAGTTAGCAGTTATATTTTTTTTTGCGTTTGAAATGGCCAAACTTGTGTCTAGCAGGTGATTGACTGATTGAAAAAAGAAAGAATCTAAAAACCATCAAAAGCTCTATGAAAAGACCAGTTACAAACAGAGTCTACCACTCAAGTCAAGGAGTGAGTTAAAGGTCTTTGATTATAATGAATTCTGCCAACACAGACGAAGTTTCGAACTAAAATCAAAATATCTGTTTATTTTGTTGAATTACATAATGTGGGTACTGTAGTACATAGTGGAACCCCATACAGACAGCAGATACACTGTCGGCCTAGTTCGGCCTTATTTTCATCACAGTAGTCTTGAGTGAGTAGTTGTGTCCCTTCCACGGGTACCAGTTGATGCCGTCAGCGAAGGAATCGTGAGCCCCGATCAGGTACTGGCCGTTCAGGTTAGCGTGATGGCAGGCGCCGTACCACCAGGCGCCTTTGAACCGGCCAGCACAGTCGGAACTGTGGATGTCGTTGTCCCTGTCCCTGGTGCTGAAGTACATCCCATTGTGGTGAGCCATGGCATCTCCTAAAGAGAAATGGGGAATATACGCTTGTGGTATTTGAATTCGTATGTATTTCAATATAGCGTTTCTTACGTGACCTCATCGCTGTGACTGCTTCCATATGTTGGTATCCTTGTTTGCATTTCAGTGAATCATTAAAGTTTAAGCGTTTTCGGACAATTAAAAGTCTTCTAACCCTCTCAAAAGATTATAGCCATTATCAACATTGTACGCAACCCCCAAAATACCGGAATAATACTTCAAAACCTGCCTATAAAACGCAAGTTGCTCTGTATACTTGAGCTACGATGAATTGAAATGCAGATACAGACACAAACATTGCAGTCAACTTCTGCCTGCATTTTTCTTTGATGTGGAAAGAGAGTGAAGACGCAATTGTATAATGTATACTGAATTTCAAACATTTTCTTTGTCGACCTTACCTGCAGTTCCTGAATAGCCTTCTACGGTAAGCTTGTATTTGTGAACTTCGTCCTCCACATGGAAGATGCTGTAGTTGGCATGGGCCGAGTTGCCTTCAAAGTCTTCCATTTCCACCCTCAGCTCGTACACACCCTGGTCCGTGATTCGGTGAAGGTTGTCATTACCTACAAGTGAAATATGTGCATATGCCCTGCATACTTCCTTTGTCTTATTAGGGAATTAAATACCTGTTTTAGATCATTGTCGGTGGTTGGATCTGTCACACTGAGGTGCAGCCTGTTAGAAGATTCTACATCAAAATCCTACGAAAGCCTACTACGAATGTGACTGTGCCGTAACCAATCCAATGACTACTAGTATAGAGCGTTATTCTATACCATTGTATTGATAACATAGACGGAGATGTTGGTTTTACGGGGGATTTTAGATAAAACTAATCTAAACTTTTAGATAAGACTAATCTAAATTTTATCTTATACGCAGTTATAGAGGAACAAAATGTATGTATATGGCAAGGGTCACAGACTCACAGTGTACAGAGCAAATATTTTCGGTTTAGCCACTGCACCGGTCGGAAATGTATTAGATAAGCATAGGACGGGCATCGGTGTGTAGGTGAAAACGTTTATACCTAGCCAGAACTCTCCCCTGAGGTCACCAAACCCTGTCTTGTATCCCTGCCAGTCTTGGTAGAAGTTGATCAGTCCGTTTTCACGTTTCTGGAACAGCTGTAGAAGAACATATGTCAATATCCTACCATTTATGCCACGAAAGAAAAAAAGCGTACGGTGTTACCTACAAACTACAGCTACATCAAGGCCAGAACGGCCAAATACACAAAAACGCATACGGAATGTAGTATCTTGCGTTAGATATTAAAGCCCAGTGTCTTAAACTGCAGCTAAACTGCATTAGCATGAGTTAGTGTTTGATTGCCGAGGGGTTTGCCAACGAGACTTACCGTCCATCCACCCCCGTCAGTGTCCATGTCACAGTAGACGTGAACAGGACTTTTCCCTCCTCCATCAGGGTAGATGGTGTACACACCGCTGGTATCGTGCCCAGTCGCCAATAGTTCCATACAGTCACGGGCACCGTTCAGCTTATCTGTGTAAAAGCATGAATAAAAACATGCCCACTTGATGTTGAAGGTTTTTGGAATACATGTATTTAATGTCAAAGTTTTTTTTAATTTAAGCCACGCTGACTTAATTTTATGGATGACATCCACGCGCGCATTGATTTCGCCTGTTCTAAAAAGAAATTCACCTCCGAGGTTCTGGCCTGGGTGCCATCTTTCGTGGGTCAGGTAGCTAGTGACAATATGGAGCCGGTGGTAACTACGGAGGATGGGACCCAGCCTTCCGAGGCTCCACGGATCTTAATAAGTCAGTACAGTGCCGACTCATAAATGCCGCAAAAGGCAAACATGTGCCGGCTTGTCTTGAAAGTCGTTATACCATTGCAAATTCACAATACATGTACCAGTTTTTTATTCCTGCGCTTTTTGCCGGATTTTGTTAATTCGCCCTCTCGCACTGGTTTTCAGGTCTGTAGCGGATGTCATCCATAAGATTAACTCAGTGTGGCCTTATTATGAAATCATGATATACATATACATACCTGCTAGTTGGTTCAGCTGTGTTTGCATCAGTTGAATAGTGGCAGCCTGCTGCTGTATGGTGGTCTGCTGTCGCTGTATAGTGCTGTCCTGTTCCTCCATCATGGACTGTAGGCTGGCGTAGGAGAAATGCTGTCCAACACACGGGTGACGTTTGATATGTGAGATAACATGAAAGCAACATGAACACAGTAAAAGTATCAGGCACTCACTATCGATGTTACCTTGTCAAGGCAAGCGAACATACTAGTAGCTAACTGAGGCAAGCTCTATCTAAGCAAGTGCTAAATAACAAAATATGTCAATTGTCATCATTCTGTAGACGTTACTCATGGCACTGCCTTTACACTCTCAATACAAAGCTCACACCCAACACTTCAAAGCAGTCTACCCCCTTGTATGAAGAAAAATGTGCTTTTCCTTTCGTCGGACAAGAGTTTAAATTACGTTGACAAATATGAAGTAAAATATTTGTAAAGTACCGTGGTTTCTCCACCGCAGCAGGTCTGTTCCAGAGTGTCGGTTCTCGTTTTCAGTGCGTCCATGTCACCCTCCAGAGTGTTCTGCCTGTCGGCGTACCGCAGCAGGTTTTCAAACGCCTGGCAGGACAGGCCTGACGCGGCAGTTTGGCCATCTCCGGCCAGGCTGCGGGCAGCAGGTGCCCATACGCTGGACGATACGGTAACGCTGACATGAAGCAGCATGGATACGAGGATTGGGAACGAGAGCGCAGCCATAGTGGCGGCTCCCAGCCTGAATCTTTGCTAGGATGTAGTGATGTTCGTATTAGTTAACGTTATATAGGAACAGTACTGTAACAGGTGTTATTTTCTCACGTCATGTGTAGATGTGTATCTGAAATATCATGCAAATATCAACCTTGTCCGCACAGTGACAAAGGTTATAGCTAAAACCAAACGCTTTAAGCCATTCTGTCTTTTGTCCACACTGTATGATTATAAAGCCACTTGGAAATGTCGACATGACAGTAGAAAATTCGCGAGAGGAACGTGTAAACTACTTCTGCATAAATACGCCAGGGATATTACACACAGCATATTGAGATCATTCCCTCCACCGCATTGTAGGGGAGTGAAATATATTGTTTTTCATCGTATGTTCCGATTTCTCTTCTCTTCTATTCCTGTCATTTCATTATTAATAAATGCATTCAACTCTGTACATGTCATTTAAAAGTTCCGTCAGAAGAGGCCAAACGTGGAGGTTTTTTATAGCGACTGTTTATTTCGTTCCACATCAATGAAGTTCACCTGGTTCTGCAATATCGTAACCCTCTCAGTCTGAATGTCGTTATCGTGAATTATTTGACCCATCCTCGAAACGACGCACTCATTTAGCACATTTCCTTCCTTCGATCAACTAAATGTTAGCTTATTTATCACAACTCAAATTACAAATTGAGTGGTGTGTTACGCCGAACGCTGGTCATACCGCGGTACAAAAAGAACTATATCCGACAAAGCAAGAAAGAAAGAAACTGTCAAAAAATGGGGGCAAATGGCACAAACACTTAATTCTGATCACGTGTAAATACTGTATTTGTTGACTGATCTTATGTTTGTTATGTTCAGTTTGATATTTCAACCATTGATTCGTCTCCATTATTTATGTTTGACATTAATTGTTCTGATATTATTGACGTTAGCATATTTATTTTTCATCATTCTGTCATGTTTATTTCTGTTTGATATCATCCCTCTGTCATATTCGAGCAAATATTAATTAAGTAAATCTGTAAGTCATTGATGTTGTCATTTTCTTTTGCTGTATATTGCTATTTTGTTATAATATTTACCATTTGTTATTCTGCTTTTCTTTAGGGTAGATATTATTCATTTACGTTATAGTTTATTTATTTTCCACCTTCTCTTATGGATCCGTGGTTTATGTCATTATTAGTTCTTGAACTCTGTCCTTTTGTTTTCTGCAAATTTTATGTATTTGTTGTGTAATGCAATAAAAAAAATTTAAAAAAGAGGCTCCGAATCGGCCATCTATGGGAAACCGAAACGTGCGCACAGTGAATTAGCCTCCATTTGTGTTAATCACGAAACGTTATCTCATGCCTTTCCTTCCATGTTTACTCGTAGAACGCTATGGGTTTACGGTCATAGAAGAACTGTCCCTGTGACTCCTTGGGTTGGATGAGAGCCAGGAAAATGGCTGTGTCTGCGCCTGGAGAGAGGAAGAAAACCCTAGTGACGATAACAATCATTCTAACTTTTACACACCACTGTAATGATTGAGACTGGTATTAAAGTCTGGTTATGTAGGTCAGAGGTATACGATAAGGTTTTCTGGATTTTACGATGTTACAAGTTGACACTTGAACCATCCATACCTTGAGCGGCAGTTCTTGTTGGTAAGTCGTAGCCCGTCATATCGGTCTTGCACCAACCAGGACAGACCTGAACCAACGACATAAAGTGATAAAAGCCACATAGAATTCAGGTATCCTGGAAGCAGAGTTACCGCGGGGCTTATAGCCGGTGATAGCCGGGCCCCCAGCGACTTGGCACGTAAGCGACTCCTGCTGGCCGACGTACCGTACACAGCCCTCGTGGTATTGGTAGCGGGAGTCGCTTTACGGGCCAAGTCGCTACGGACCCGAACAATACCGGCTATAAGTATAAGCCCCGCGGTAACTCTGTTTCCAGGGCATAAATAAGGAATAACACGAGTGTACAACCTACCCTCTCCCAAACCAAACCTGTCCTTTTCAGTGAACAAGTAGAAATGGGCACCGGGAAAAGTAGAAATATACAAAATGTACCAAAATTATTTGCGGAACTTTTTGGGAAAACAGATTGGCATACTAGTAACACATCTCCCTACATTAGTTTTAAAAAATGTTGTTCTTACACAGTTGACCAGGATGTCCTCTCTGGGGTCCTTCTCCATCTCCCGTGCCTGGATGAACGTCAGGACGATCAGTCCGATCTTCGACATGCCGTACGCTGCAGTTGAGTCGCCGAAACCGTTTTCCTGGTGCATCCCTGCCTTCGCCGTCCTGTATTTAACAGGGATAACGAGTAATTTTGTCCAAGAGAAGATTTCCTCAAAATACGATACCCGTTTCCGCCACTGAGTACTGATACTGGGCATATAATATTCTGGCCAGTCGTCAAAATTCTTTTGCCCGGTTGAACGGGGGAGGGGCGCCGGATACGCCCCCTTCTGGATCCGCGGATGTATATGGACAGACGTCAATGATTAGACTCTTATCCTAAAATTAGCTGCATGACAGTTGGAAGTGTGGTTTCTATATTTAGAAACGAATACGATTTTTCTGTCGATGTTTTTGGCCTGTCATAAAGTGTACCAAAGTTACGGTCTGCTGAGTCTGTCATTCAACTTTGACACATACATAAGTGTACCCACTCAATGAACTTATGCAGCAACTTCACAAGTTCCTCTTCCTTGATGCTCCTGTCCCCGAAGCGGGCCTGTAATTCGGCACTGCATTTCTTCAAAGCCACCTTAGCCCGTTGGCTGGTCACATTCACTACCCTGAAGATTCAAAGTAAATTTTCATAAATGCATGCCATTGACAAGTTATGAACAGGTAAGGTCCAAGGTTGCGTTCTCGGATAACGTTTTCATGTGCCATTAAAAATCCCGTTTTCGCCTTTCTCCTTAATGTGTATGTACATTCTGTATTAACAGCACATCTGAACCTTGTGTATCAGATTGCATAATTCGAGACTTGATAGCTCCGCCCACCTTCCATGAGGCCTGATGATGGGCAGCAGAGCTTTGCTGACAGCCAGAGTTCCGAAGAAGTTGATCCCCACGCAGTTTTCTGCTTTGGTCCCGAATGGGGTCGTATCTTCCATCTGGAAATCAAAACAAGAGGTGGCATTGGTTCAGGGATTATGCCTTTAGGTGGAATAGGAGGGAATTGCAAGACTATCCGATCACTAGGTCCTAGGGCAGAAGTGAAGGGAAAAGATGTGTTTGAAAATTTTGACAAACGAAACGAACCTTGTAAGCAAATCCTGCATTGTTAACCAGCACGTCCAGGCCCCCATGCTTGTCCTGCAGATGTTTCTTCAGTGCCTGAATACTCTGCTCATCTGTGATGTCCAACTGGTGGAAGCTGGGGTTCAGGCCCTCAGACTTCAGCTTTTGGACAGCCTCCTGTCCGAGTTTCTCATTTCTAGCTGTGTTGGAAAAAATAATGTACTACTGGTCAAGGCAGCAACCGTCCTGTACGGCATAACACATTGGCTGAGCAAGTAGAAATCCGGTAGAGATCATACAAGAGACAATACTTCAATTGCCCTTTGCTTTTATTTTTAGTTGATTCAATGATACATAATCGAGTAAACAATAATACTTACCTGTTAGGTAGACAGTCCCCTCGAATTGTTTACACAATCCTCGCACTATTTCCAGCCCAATCCCCTTGTTTGCCCCAGTCACCTGGCGATGTGGAGATGATAACCACTGCATTAGTGTTTGACAACCCTTTCTGTAAGATATATACTATAGAACTCGAACTTGTGAAATATCAGTGCACACATTGCACATGACATTCTGAAGCATTATGCCAAATTACGATTCTCCATGAATTGGAGGAGTTCCCAAAGATTTGAATCAGGAGAAAATTGTTGTGTGCTTTGTTGAAAAATGAGCTCGAGATTGAGCCATCCTGAAAGGTTTTGTTGAAAATCTCTGTACGAAATGCTAATTTTCAGATCCGACTGTTTTTAATCTGTGCACGTCTGTGAAAGCCACAAACAGATGTTTGACACCAGGCCTGAGTGTGTTCCTTTGGAAGGTGAACCTGCATGTGTTACTAAAGTAAGCTTTTGTCACGTCCTACCAAGCTCCTTTGGACCTACTGACCTCTTGGTAATCTTAACGTTCCATGGGTTAACAACAATACCCGTGCGTCACGGCATGGACTTTGAAAGAGAAGCAGCACTTTGAACGTAACGTTATAAATGTTGTACTCATAGAGCCTTGACCTTATACGTATACTGCCAGGTGCTATTATAGCAAACACTACAATCCTGTTCTATATCCTTGTTTGGTCGCCCAATTTGGCATGGGTAATGAGACACATATTTAGGTACGCCTCTGTTGTAGACCTTTCCCACTCAAACTGGCGATCATCATATCTCGAAAAAAATTCAGAACCGCGTATAGCTATCAGAAAACCAAGGTGGGGCATAGAATTTGGGGCATAGAATTCTTTCCGCGAAAGAATACTGCGACACAAATTAAACTCACCACGGCTACTAGGCTCATCGTTGGTTCCCAGGCAGTTGAGTGAGCTGCTGCTGGTAGGCCCTGTTAACTTGGACTGTGACTGGTTGTGTCAAGGACGTCCTTGGTTGTGTGAACTCACCTTGTTGGCGCTTGTTTGTTTTCTAAGCCTATAACGAACGTGATCGCGTCGTAAGTCAACACGGTATTTGTACGGAATAAGTGATGAATACGGCTGTGGGATATAATTCTTATTACGAACATATGATGTCTTTTAAAGAAACTGGTGTCTTCCCAACTTTACTCTAAATTCCAGCAACTTAGCAAGTAGTAATAGTAACAACAGTATGGTCATTGACACGCGATGCTTTATTTCAATATCCGTGTACATGTACATGTATAGGCAGTATGGAACCAACCATGCATTGCAACTTGGTCTGGTATCATCGGGAAGGAGTTTAGCTTTAACCATATAGATGAGACTAGTTTGCCTTGGCTACGGATTTCTCACTCGGCGTGCTTTCTCTAGTTAGGCCTTATTTTCATTTCAGCAGTTTTCAGCGAGGTGTCATACCCCTCCAGGGTTTCCAGTTGACACCGTCTGCCTGAGACTGCTGGTCCGCTCCCAGGTACAGGCCGTTCAGGTTTGCGCGGTGGCAGCTACTGTACCACCACGCACCTTTGAACTCTTCGGCACAGTTGTAAGTAGGGTGGATGTCGTTGTCTCTGTCTCTTGTCGTAAAGTACATACCGTGGTGAGGGTTGACTGCGTCGGTCATTCCGTCACATGGAAAGGGTTTTATATGCAACAACCTATAGTAAAACTTAGTTCTATCCTACGAAGTAAGCGCATCAACTCGGAAACATTATGAAAGAAGATTTCACCATCTTCAGGAAATCGAAACGTGTATAATGACTTAATCTCTAGTTGTGCTAATCACGAAACGTTATCTAATGCATTTCAAATCAGCCTCCGCCATTTCCTTCCATTCAAAACGCTATGGGTTTACGTTCATAGAAGAACTGTCCCTGTGACTCCTTGGGTTGGATGAGAGCCAGGAAAATGGCTGTGTCTGCGCCTGGAGAGAGGAAGAAAGAAAACCTTAGTGAGGATATAACAATCATTTCGACTTTTATGCGCCACTGCAATGATTAAGACCTCAACCAACTATATTAACCTATACAACTTTCATCAAGTCTGGTAACTAGTGTAGACCAAAGGTACTACGGTATACTATACAATTAGATATAAGGTATGAAAGATATTGCACTACAAGTTGATACTCAAACCATCCATACCTTGAGCGGCAGTTCTTGTTCGTCCGTCGTCGGGCGCCATATCGGTCTTGCAACTACCAGGACAGAGCTGAAGCAACAATATAAAGCGATGAGAGCCACATAGAAGGTGTAACATGAGTGAACAACCTCACCTACCCCAGGCAAAATCTGTACCGTTTGTAAACAAAATATCATTAAGACATGGACCGTGGCCTTGAAAAGAAGAAATAAACAAAATGTTTGTTTGCAATTGGACTAAAAAGGGAACTATTTGACGGACCTTTTTCGGGGAAAACAGATTGGCACACTAGTTACAAATCTCCTTGCACTAGCACAAAGGCAATGTTGCTCTTACACAGTTGACCAGGATGTCCTCTCTGGCGTCCTTCTCCATCTCCCGTGCCTGGATGAATGTCAGGACACTCATGCCGATCTTCGACATGCCGTACGCCCAGTCGGCGAAACCGTTCTCCTGGTGCTTCCCTTCCTTCGCCGTCCTGTACAGTCACAAGTACACCAGCCGAGTATTTATTAGGGATAACGAGTAAGTTTGTCCAAGAGAAGATTCCCTCAAAATACGGTACCCGTTTCTGCCACTGAGTACCGATACTGGGCATATATGCACAGACGTCCATGATGAGACTCTTATCCTAAAATTAGCTGCATGACTGTTGAAAATGTGGTTCGTGAAAAAAGAAACGAATACGTTCAATTCTCTTTTTGATGTTTTAGGCCTGTCATAAAGTGTATCAAAGTTCCAGTCTACAGAGTCTGTCATTCTATTTTGACACAGACAGGTACGTATACTCACTCAATGAACTTATGCAGCAACTCCACAAGTTCCTCTTCCTTGATGCTCCTGTCCCTGAAGCGGGCCTGTAATTCGGCACTGCATTTCTTCAAAGCCATCTGAGCAGCTTGGCTGGACACATTCACTACCCTGAAGAGTAAGATTCAAAGTAAATTTAGTAAAGGTTATGAACAGCTAAGGCCCAAGGGAGGGCATTATAGCATTCTCGGATAACGTGTTATTTTTGTGGAATTGAAATACCTTTTTCGCCTTTCTCTTTAATGTGTATTCTGTATTTACCGCTCATCTGAACCTTGTATAAGATTTGACAGCTCCGCCCACCTTCCATGAGGTCTGATGATGGGCAGCAGAGCTTTGCTGACAGCCAGGGTTCCGAAGAAGTTGATCCCCACAGAGTCTTCTGCTTGGGTCCCAAATGGGGTCGTATCTCCCACCTGAAAATGAAAAAAAAAATTGTGACACTTTGGGTGAAATTGGTGGAATCGCAGGAGCGATCACTAGGTCCCAGGGCAGAAGTGGAGGGAAAATGTGTGTTTGAAAATTTGACAAACGAAACGAACCTTGTAAGCAAACCCTGCATTGTTAACCAGCACGTCCAGGCCCCCATGCTTGTCCAGCAGATGTTTCTTCAGTGCCTGAATACTCTGCTCATCTGTGATGTCCAACTGGTGGAAGCTGGGGTTCAGGCCGTCAGACACCAGCTTTTGGACAGCCTCCTGTCCGAGCTTCTCATTTCTAGCTGTGTTGGAAGAAATAATTCACTACTGATCAAGGCCGCGAGCACACGTACTGTACGGCATGCCACATTGGCTGATACACGTAGGAATCGAGTAGAGAGAATAGAAGGACAATACTTTAGTGCTTACCTGTTAGGTAGACAGTCCCCTCAAATTGTCTGCACAATCCTCGCACTATTTCCAACCCAATGCCTTTGTTTGCCCCGGTAACCTGGCGATATGGAAATGAAATGACTTTCAGCTCAGATAGTGGGCATTCCTTGGTCTCTTAGGACCATGAAAAAGACTTCTACGCCATGTACTAACTACTGCTGTTTGTTTTTACGTCTAAGTTCTGACGCAGCTCTGACAGAATAACTGTATTACTGCTTGACAACCTTTTATGTACGATCTATAAAGAACGCAACTTATATCAAGTGAAAATTCCTTTACGCCTTATGGTAAAATGAGATTAAGCCTTCCATAAAAATTTTGTTGAAACTCATAATACTGGGTCTGAGCTGTGTCGCAAAGCTTTGTGTCCTACAAGAAAGTCGGACTTTAACCTCGAGCCATGCTGACCTTTTGGTTACCTTAACACTCCATGGTTAAACACCAATAGCTGAACGACACGTCCTCCAACAGAAACAACGCTTGGAACGTAACTTAAACAATATAACCGTTACATTATATCTCACGAAACTCTTCGTCATATAGACAGCATGGTACTTTTATAGGAAATAATCCTGTTAGTCTTATTGTGCCACCCAATTTGGTATGAGTAGCGAAACACACATTTAGGTAAGCCTCTGTTGCAGACCCTTTTCCACTCGGACGGTAATACTAGTAATATATCGACAAACAGTCAGAACCGGGCACTGTAACAATCATAAACCCCAGCAGGGCTTGCAACTGAGGGCATTATTTTGGCTACAGCTTCGAGAAGGAATACTGCGACACAAATCACACTCACCACGGCTACTCGGCTCATCGTTGGTTCACAGCCAGTTGACTGACCTGCTTTGCAGTCTATGACTGTGAATGGTTGTATGAGCTCACCTTTGAACTGCATCGGGTAACCATTGTGCGCATGACGTTCGTGTATGAAGTTTTGCATGTCATAGACGCTTTGTTTTTTGACCTAAAATGAATTTGACCGCACCGTAAGTCAACATGCACTTTTAGGGAAGGATTGGTGACGACGGCTGTGCGAGGTGATAATATTTATGGATATATGATGTCTTTTATAGAAATTGACATTCTCCCAACTCTACTCTGAAATACCAACAAGAAGTAAGAGTAACAGTATGATCATTGACACGAAGTGCTTTATTTCAATATTCGTGTACAGTGGGTCTGTTTTCCTTGCACGTATAGGACAATATGGACTTATGTCAGCCATGCACGGCTAGTATCATCGAGGAGACTATTTTGCCTTAGCTACGGATTTCTCACTCGGAGTGCTTTCTCTAGTTAGGCCTTATTTTCATTTCAGCAGTTTTCAGCGAGGTGTCATAACCCCTCCAGGGTTTCCAGTTGACACCGTCTGCCTGAGACTGCTGGTCCGCTCCCAGGTACAGGCCGTTCAGGTTTGCGCGGTGGCAGCTACTGTACCACGCACCTTTGAACTCTTCGGCACAGTTGTAAGTAGGGTGGATGTCGTTGTCTCTGTCTCTTGTCGTAAAGTACATACCGTGGTGAGGGTTGACTGCGTCGGTCATTCCGTCACCTGAAAACATACAACAACGTACAGAGTTAGACATTAGTTCCAACCTACGGAAGTCAGCGCATCGAATTTTTGCAATTCCTTCCTGCAGTACTAGTCTTTCTCAGAATTCATGTGACCAACTCACCTAGCTATAGGTCACCATGAAAGTCTATATAACCCGCCGTCTCTGTTAAGTTGAACAAACTTCAATGAAAGTTCGTCCCCTCGACTAGTGAAAACTCTCAAAGGACAACACACACACCTGCAGTGCCGTTGTAGCCGTCCACAGTGAGCCTGTACTTGTGCACCTCGTCCTCCACCCTGAAGATGTTGTACTTGGCGTAGGCCGTGTTCCCCTCAAAGTCCTCCAGATCCACCCTCAGTTCGTACACATCCTGGGCCGTCAGACGGTGCAGGTGGTCATTACCTAGAGAAACAGAAGAAAATCTACCTATGAGTTTTGATAGATATAAAACAGCATTTAGGATCCATGCACGATGAACATATGTATCAATCATAAGAATAGTTGTAACCATACCTAGCCAGAACTCTCCCCTTAGATCCCCAAACCCTGTCTTGTACGCCTCCCAATCTCGATAGAAGTTGACCGAACCATCTTGGCGCTTTTGGAATAGCTGCAGAAAGTAAAATGTCGTTACGAATAAGAATGTAACGTTACGTACACTATGGTATCGAAGTTCAAGGACGTCTATATTGGTTGGACTATTCGCCAGGGTTTCTCTCTTTCAGAACAACCGGTTTCTATCAGTTATAATCACAAGGTAGCTAGATCAAACCAAATCAAAGTATAGGTTGCAGCCGATACCGTCCATCCACCCCCGTCAGTATCCATGTCACAGTAGACGTGAACAGGACTTTTCCCTCCTCCATCAGGGTAGATGGTGTACACACCGCTGGTATCGTGTCCAGTCGCCAACAGTTCCATACAGTCACGGGGGCCGTTCAGCTTGTCTGAAATTGTGAATCCAATATTCTCTGTCAACTTATCTAATAATTTAATTAGTTGGAACCGAAAAAGTAATTCTATTTTGATTTTTTTTCAAATTGAATTAACCTTATCGGTTGAAAATGTTGGCATGGCTCATATGAGACATATTTGGATTTGCATTTACGGTTAGATATATTCTACAGAAAAGATGTTGAAAACATACCTGATAGTTGGTTCAACATGGTCTGCATCTGTTGCACTGTGGTCTCTTGTCGCTGAATGATGTCTGCCTGATCATCCACTGTGGATTGTAGTCGTTGAATGGTGGCCTGTTGGTGTTGATTGATGGCGACCTGGTCATCCACGGCTAACTGTAGGTTTTCCACGGTGTTCTGCAGTTCCTGTACGATGTTGGCCAGGTGATTCACGTTCAAGTGTAGAGTATCAACCGACTGCTGTTGGTTCTCGATCCAAAGCTAGAAACAATAGAACATTATGTGATTACTGCAAAGAAACTGCGTCACGGCCTTATAGGTTAAGCATGCTGTATCCCCTTCTTTTGATCGTATTGGATTCAGTCAGTTATAGCACGGTATAGTAAGATACAGGTTTTTAGCTTATTAAGATATTATAAGGATATTAAGTAGGGAGGACTAAATTTAAATCCATTGCTACAACACATCAATTGATAGAATGTATAATCTTATGCCAGAAAAATATTACACATAACAGTTGTATACATGATAACCTCAGGTCTTTTGAGCACATTGGCCTACCGTCCATTGTCCCCCACAACATTGCTGAGTCTCGTTCTTCAGTACTTCCAACTCGCTCTCCTGCTGGTTCAGGTACTGTAGAAGCTGTCCATATGTTAGAGAAGATCCGTTCAGGACAGCGTTTTCTCCAGCGTCAGTCACAGACAAGCCAGCAGACTCGTCTGAACCGACATGATCGTGAGTCGCTGTGCTGCTGAGTTGGATCAGCAGGAAAAGGACGAAGGTGGAAGGGATATTCATGACAATGAGGGAGAGGAGCTGATGGTAAAATGTCACTAATGTGCAGTTGTAATGTGTGTATGTGTAAACCTAGCACTGAAACACCTGTAGTGTTCTCAAAGGGTGGGTCATGGCCGTTTTGCACACAAGGTTATGGAGGTCAAAGGCGGTATTTGTTATATAGTCATAGTAACATTTTACATCAGTTAATTGCACGGTTGTATGATACATATAATGGCTATCAAACCATGACAAATAGTGGGTTGATAAATCACGAGACCTAACAATAGTATATATGACACGGATTGCTTGATCAGAACAACTGCTGTAGTCGAACAAATAACCTGGAAATCTGAAGTTGGTAATATTACTCTTTAGGTATTTAGTCAATGACGCAACCATGTGTTTATTTCGTACCTTAAGCTATTACCATTTCAGCCAGAATCATGAGACAACAACAGCACTAGTATCGATATGGTACTGGCTCTTTATTTCGACAAGTGCCGGGGAAGGGACTTTATGTCAACCTTCTGGTTGCTTGGCTTAGTTAGGCCTGATTTTCATTTCAGTGGTTTTTAGGGAATAATCGTATCCCTTCCATGGGAACCAGTTGACACCGTCTGCGAAGGACTGGTGAGCTCCACCGTGGTACAGGCCGTTCAGGTTTGCACGGTGGCATTTCTCGTACCACCACGCACCTTTGTACCTCTCGGCACAGTCAGCAGTGTCGTGATTGTCATTGTCCCTGTCCCAGGTTGAGAAAAACATGCCATGATGAGCGGTCATGCCATCACCTGAAAACAGATTAACATGTTAAAGTAATTATAATATATAAGGACCTACAGTTCAGAACAAAATCATTCATGTCCTTGTAATTGAATTGGCATTTTGGTTATTAACCGTACGTGCGTTTTAACAAAGTGCCGGAAATGGCCAGTCATAAAGGAGCCTTGCTCTTATAACCTAAATCATCAGCAGTAGATTCCGCTGTGGTGGCTCAAGCCTCCTCTATTCGCAATTGCAACAGTTACAATAGCAGACAAAGCTTAAGGCCAGTCTCTGAATAATGATAATTTACCTGCAGTACCGTTGTATCCGTCCACACTGAGCCTGTACTTATGCACCTCGTCCTCCACCCTGAAGATGTTGTACTTGGCGTAGGCCGTGTTCCCCTCAAAGTCCTCCAGATCCACCCTCAGTTCGTACACATCCTGGGCCGTCAGTCGGTGGAGATTGTCATTACCTGGAGTAAAACACAGAATAGTCACATCATACAATATTGCTTTGCATAACTAAAATGAATCACAATTATGGCCTTTTACCAGTTCTGCTGAAGACATACCTAGCCAGAACTCTCCCCTCAGGTCACCAAACCCTGTCTTGTACGCCTGCCAGTTTCGGTAGAAGTTGATTGAACCATCTTGACGCTTTTGGAACAACTGGACAAAGTAAATAATACCGTAAGGATCTATGCACACTGTACTCTGTAGTTATCAATCACGATGTTGTTATCTTGAACATTTGTAGTACAACGAAAGAGCCAGAAATAGGAGGAAAAACAAACACCAGACTTGTGTTAACTTGATCTTGTGATGCTCTATTCATACTTTACAAAAAACAGTCGTCTGATATACATGGCTGTCATGAATGAAAACAGTAGACCTACTACATACTTACAGTCCACCCACCCCCGTCAGTGTCCATGTCACAGTAGACGTGAACAGGACTTTTTCCATCGCCATCAGGGTAGATGGTGTACACATCACTGACATCGTGTCCAGTGGACAACAGTTCCATACAGTCACGGGGACCGCTCAGTTTATCTAATTTTCAAAGATATTGATTGTTTAAACTTGAATAAACTTAAAGCTAAAAAGTCGTGTTATATATATCTAGCCCATACAAAATTAAGTCGTATGTTGCTACGTTGACAGATTACAAAATTGATAGGTGAGGAACCTGAAATTTGGCTCAGAAGGGTCTGCATCTGTTGTATTTTGGTCTCCTGTTGCTGAATAGTGTTGCTCTGATCAGACATTGCTGCCTGTAGTTCCTGCATGGCGGCATGTTGTTGCTGAATGGTGTTAGCCTGATCACCCACTGTTGTCTGTAGCTCTTCCACGATGGACTGTTGTTGCTGAAGAGCGTTGGCTTGGGAAATGTACTACAACAAAGGAAACTGTGTTATCATAGCTTGATTTCATTGAAACGTGCTGTATTCTTTCTCGTCCAAAACACATTCCAGGGGAGTACCCGGAATCTGTTTTGTGAAGTACATGTAATAGAGCGTTTACCATTTGACACCAACAAAAATATATAGACGACGTGAAGGCACTAGTAACTACAATGTGTGCACATACACTTTCTTCCCTAGACTTGTAAACAATGTAATGACTTGGAGGTGTTTTATACTGCATTCAAACATATGATATATGAATGCATGTAGCAAGCCGTTTAGGAACAAAGACTTACTGTCCCCTGTCCTCCACAGCATTGCTGAGTCTCGTTCTTCAGGCCCTCCAACTCGCTCTCCAGCTTGTCCTGTCTAGTTAAGTACTGGAGAAGTTCTCCATATGCCAGACACGATCCGGTCAAAACACCGTGTTCTCCAACGTCAGTCACAGTCCATCCAGCAGGATCCTCTGAACCGAGTTGGGCTGTTGAATTGCTAAACTGATGCAGCAGGAAGAGGACGACGATACAACCGACAGTCATGACGACGTGTGACGAAGTTCGTTGATCTGTCCTGAGCTATAGTGTGCGTTGACGCATGTATAGAAACACCTGTAGTGTTCTCAAGGGCTGGGTCATCCCTTTATTGCACACGAGGTCATGGGGGTCAAGGGCACACGAGGTTACAGCCGAATCGCTCATATTTAGATCTTACATTTAAATGACGCCTATTTAACGAAGAACTAATTTTTTTATCATACTTGTTTATTATAGTTGAAATTTCTACGTGGCATTATTAATGATCATCAGCTTGATAAGAAATGCTGTAGTCGAACACGTAAGCTGGAAATCTCAAGTTGGTACAATTATCCTACAAAAACTCAGGAAACATAAGACAAATCAGACACAGTTTGGCCGGAAAAAGGGAAAAGCTTTAATTTGTAACTTTTCCAAAACGAACACAGGTGGAGAAAGGGGTGGTGGTGGGTGAAGAGAAAAACAAAAGCAAGACCGGCACCCGCGTACCGTCAAGTCGAATGGCGTATCACGTGATCGTGTCAAAGGTTACGGGCCGAAACAAAAGAAACAGGGGTTTTCTAGACAATTAACAAAAATTACCAAGGGTCAATTTTTCCCAAATTATCCTACAAAAACTCAGGAAACATAAGACAAATCAGACACAGTTTGGCCGGAAAAAGGGAAAAGCTTTAATTTGTAACTTTTCCAAAACGAACACCAAAGGAACGGCCAAACTGCAAAACATAGTTATTTTAAATTTAGAAAACCACCACCTACTCCTTTTCTTTCTCTTTAGCTTCCTATGATATCATACTTGAACATTGCTTTGGGGTTACCAACCCAGGAAGGAACAATATAACAACATTTCAAAAATATACAACTGTTACAACTTATAACAGTATAACTGCTGTCGAACTATTCAGGCTAACAACCATCATTACTTCTTACAATAGTTCACTAATAGGGAATCATATAAGAACATGCGCAACAAACTAAAGGGACCTAAATACATAGGTCAACTTGTAACAATAACATTGTCTCCTAACAAAACCATCTATTAGTAGTCTACGATGTAGTGTAAGATACTAGTACTACAAAGCCATCTTACGAATGCTAGTCACCATTCTGGAACATAGACTTAACCGGGTAGCTAAGGGAACTTTCAGATACAGCAAGTAGGCGTCCGAACGCCAGTCACCCTGAAGGCGAATCAAGTCAATAGGAACACCTGAACGAAAGGCAAAGGTGGCACCACCTCTACGTCCACTATGTAGTGAGTATCTAGCTGGGCTTAAACCTGCTCTAATCAGGATCTGCTTGAAAGCCTTATCGAAAACGCTCTGAGTCAAAGGTACAAATCCGGATCTATGTGGTCTCGTAAAAGCTGCGATAGTATCAAAATTGCGATTCAACTTAACCATATTACAGTATGCCGATACAGGACAAAGAGGAGAATTCTTGATCTCCATCACGGGAACGTACAATACTCTCTCAGCACACTGTAATGTCTTAGACCATCTAATTCTGATCAGCAAAACTCCTCTATGTACAGCAAAATCATGCATAGTGAATTGTTTAGCCGGATCGAACTCATGCTTAGACACAAAGTTAGATTTTCTCTGAAATGTGAAGAAACTTAAAAGAATCACTGTCCATATGGTTGCCTGAAACGAGTCTGAGGTATCTAACTGTTCATGGATCTTGAGTAAGACTTCTGGGGTGAATGGCAGCTTTTGACGTGGCGTATGTCCCATTTGTTTCTTCAGTCCACGTAGCACTAGGGCTAGATCCATAGACGAGAAAGCCGTGGTGTCTAGCCCGAACAGAATGTGGAAGGTTTTAATACCGCTGATATAGTTTGCAATTGATGCTGGCGCCCGAAAGGAACGACTGAGAAACTCAGCATAAGTCTCCAGGGTGTCTACTGTTGACGGAAAGGGCGGTAAACCGTAGAACGTACAGAACAGCATGTAGGTTCGTAAATGTGTTCTCAAGTTCCCCCAAGTTCCTTCAGCAAAGGCTGCCCGTTTAGTCTGACGCACTCGGTCTCGCAGTAATGTAAGGTCTTTGCTGGCTGAAACAAACAAACAAACAGAACAGAACAAATGCATTAGAACCTTATCATACAGTCAATAAGGGCACTCCAAGATAAAGTCTTCCTGGAATACCGGAATCTCACAAGTGGTCTGGTGTCGTGTGAGACTCTTGAACTGCTGAGAGTGATACGTTGACATGTGCCATCGCGAAAGATGATCTGCAATCCGATTGTGGGAACCTTGAATGTGTGTGGCCTTCACCTGGAACTCAAATGTGGCAGCCAACAGCCATAATTCCCTCGCACACTGCAACAGTTCCCGATCACGAGCACGGCCGGAGTTTAATACGTGCACACATGCCATGTTGTCGCAGTGTACCAAAATTCGCTGTCCAAACCATTGGGGTGCCCACTTCCGTGCCGCGACTACAATTGTTAATATTTCAAGCACGTGTATCTTTGATCCAAACTGTTCCAAAGTCCGCTCGGGAAACTCGCAATGGAAGAACTGACCGTTGGAGAAACCGCCGCACCCCGTGGCACAGGCATCTGTCATAACCAACTCGTCAGGGTCGCTGTAAATATCTGGAACCATCATCGATACACCGTTGTATGAAACCATAAACCGCTGCCACCACTTGAGATCCAATCTGAAATCCCGTGTCAAGCGAAGTCTATGGTGGTTCCGTCGTAGTGAACGCAATGCCTCCAACATACGTGATATAAACAGTCGTCCAGGAGGCACACAGGATGAAACAAAAACGAGCTTACCGATCAGGGACTGGAGTTCGCGTCTAATGGCCTTCTTCTTGTCCAGCCACGCGCTAACAAGCAGTCTAATCTCTTCTAACCGGAACTGTGGAACGCGTCTAGTCATAGACACTGTATCGAAATCGATTCCTAAAAATGTCATACACGTAGTAGGGCGCACTGCCTTCTCTGGAGCTTCTTCCAAGCCAAGACTGCCCAAAGTGTTCTGTAAATCTGCGAACGCTGCATCAGCTAAAGATGGAGTTTCCGCTCCTCCGAATCATCTAAGTAATTACACACATCATAACCTTTCTCCCGCTGAATATAAGTGACGGCTGAAGTCGTTGTTTGGCAAATGTAAGCTGATGATCTGAGTCCAAATACTAATCTAGTGTCCACATAGAAATCACCTCTCCAACTGTACAATAGATATTTGTAGTCCTTAGGGTCCACTGGCAACTGCCGGTATGCCTTGGTAGTCTCAGGTCTTACATAACAAACAACCTGGTCCCTTATTCAAAATCATTTGAGTCATTGTGTCGACTGATGGGTAAGACAACTGTACCGTGTCTCCTAGATAAGTATCCTTAGGTACTGCTTCATTCAATGCATGGCCACATGGGAAACTACAGTCCACTACTACTCTTCTCTTATCACTGTTCCGTTTCTCCACTGTTTGTAATGGTAAAGAAACCACTGGGGACGAAAAAGGGTTCTTTGGAAACGGTCCCGCTATGGCACCTAGGCGACGCTCTTCAGAAAGAAAATGATCAACATGTGAAGAATACGTTGTAGCAGACTTATGATTCTTAGGATACAAAACTGCAGGCGGACTATAGAGTTCTTCCTGAACGTTGATGGGCCAACCAAAATCCAAATAATCCACTATATGCTTGTGGTCGTAATCTCTGAGTAACTTTCTCCAGGTTTGTATATTCAGATTTGAGTCCACCGGTCTACGAGCGCCAATATAGTTAGGAACATTAAATGCCGATACCTCTTCATGTAGCCTGATCGCCTTGTGTGCCGCCACGTGCGGGGCCGGGTCCCTGGGAGAAGTGGGCGGAGTTACCGAAGCTGCGATTTGCTCTGTCTGCCGGGCCCCGAAATGGCCGTGGTTTGTGCAGGCACTCTTGACTCGGGTGCGGTGCCTGAATCTCCCGAACTATCAAACACGCACTACAGACGTGTAACAGTGGGGCGTTCCATCGTGTGCTCCAATGCCCCGGAGGGTAGAGAACAGGACCCGGTCTGGAACTCGCCACAGTAGCGAGGTCTGCTTGCCGACACTCGAGCCTCTTTCACAAGCCCCGCCCTCGGAGCGTTGCCCGCGTTGCCCCGAGCAACCCTAGCCTGTGTTCGGTAGTGTCTTTCCCTGACAGCATCAAAGGCACCGCGGTTCCCCCATGCGAGCGATCCGTATTCCATCCCATACAGTAAAGATGCGTGAACTTCCCGTACTGCAACCCAATCATAGTAGACAGCATCGAACATAAGATCTGCTAGGTGAACCAACTTATGCTCTGCGTCCGTAGATACACGCTCACGATCTAGAACATTCTTAACATAGCCGTGCACAAACATGGGTAGGGATAACTCGTCATAAGTCACGCCCCCTTCTTTACCATATCCCGGGAAATGCACCCGATGTTGTGGCCAATCAACTTTGACCCGACGTGTACCCGAATCATTAATAGTACGGTTACGACCGCTCTTACCTGCACGACGTCGCCTCCTAGAACGTGAGCGGGAGTCGTACGAAGCTGTGTCTGAGTCATAGTTGCGCCGGGAGCGTTTGCCTTTTCTCTTTCTT